CCAGGGACACAACCTTTTGGTGTATGGGATGACACTCCAACCAACTGAGCCATCTGGCCAGGGCTGGGCTATTACATCTTTGGATTCTAGTACTTAGTACAGGGCCTGGCACATGGTAAGCATTTATTGAATGTGTATTTGAATAAATAAACTGTGAAGATCCTTTTATATCAAGGTGATTGGAAGCTTTATACACATCAGTGAGATCTTTTAATTACTTGTCTTCCCCTGAAAGCCCTGAAGAGTCTTTGAGGCTGAGGGTGCTGTTTTTCAGGCACTTTGCATGTTTGTCATCCAAGTACATGTGTCCTGGTGTGCCAGCAGTGATGAGCACCTTACTCGCCAACATCAATGCCTACTATGCCCACACAACTGCCTCCACCAATGTCTCTGCATCTGATCGCTTTGCAGCCTCCAACTTTGGGGTGAGTATGATATAAAACATACCTACCCATTTGTTATCAATTAATAAAGTTTGATTTTTCATGGTCAATACTGTAGCGTTGGTTGATGAGCCTAAAATTCAGATAGATGCCACCTAGATAGGTGAATTTGTTTCCTTATGAGTATGCAGACGATGCTGATAGACTATTCTTATTTCTTCATGGATATGTTGACTAATAGACTCTCCTCAAACACAGATAAATGAGAGAAAAAGAGCATCACTATGGTTTGGGGGGCACACCTGGGCTCAGGTAGAACCTCTCTAGGCCAAGAGTGTGGCTGAATCAGCATGTTCGTTAGTCCTACAGGTCCACAAATGGATCTTTCTTAATATTACTCAGTCCCTCTGACAGATTCATACCACTTAAACTCATATGAGACTATTTCCTAAGCAAGGATATCAGTGTATACTCAGCCTATCACTTTCCTAGTGTCTGGGCTGTTTTTTTCTATTCAGGGCATGCCCTTTCCTATGTTAAGGTACTTGAGAAGTTGAATCTTTACTCAGAATGTCACCTGTCATAACTTCTATATAAACTAGATGAAATATCTTTGACCCAGCACAAAAATGACCTCTTTAGGCATAAAATCACTGATACCCCCAAATCCACTAGGTCTATTTATGGACCTAACAACTTTTTCTTGTTATTAAAGAGAGTCTTTCTATAGATGAATAAATATCATTGATTAAGCCTTTGTTTCATTCTGTTATATCCCATTATATATTGACTTAATATTCAAAGATATCTATATATATAAAAGGCTAATATGCTAAGTGTTCCTCCGACCAGTCACTATGATGCACACTGACCACCGGGGGCAGACGCTCAACATAGGAGCTGCCGTGACGTGCACTGGCCATTTACAAAGAAACGGCACCATGGACCTGGCGTTGACAAAGCAACAATGGGCTTCCCCCAAGTGGGACACAGGCCCCGCCACCACCCCAGAGAGTCAGCCCACCAAATTGCAAGCCAATGCTGCTAAGACCCCATGGCACAAAATGCGGCCCATAGCCCAGCCCAGCCCAAAACAGTGGCTGTGGGCGCCGGGGAAT